TTTTTTTAGCATTTGTTTTTTTGCCAAACTTAAATTGATGATGCAAATTCTTAAATTAATATTCTGGTATAGATGTCATAGTTTATTTTTTTTGGGGTTGTACCTTTTCTGACATTTTGAGAGGGTACGTACTATATTAGAATATTCACTTGTGAGTTGTTCCACATCCTTTGTATAGGGAAAAAAGGTCTAATTTATAAGTCTAATGGGCTACTCATCCTTCCACCCATTGGTTTTGAGATAGAACCTCACTTGGACTTCATCTGGCTTTTCCCTGTCTTGGTGCGCTTCACGTATGTGGGGCCGCACTTGTTTTTCCCCGTTTCTACATGGTATCAGAGTCGGTTCTATTGGGACCGTGCGATGACGTACCCGTTTATATTGGAGCCTGCTTCTTGTAGGCTTGGGTTACCCAGCTCCGTATATGGGTTTGGACTTTCTTATTAAGGACTCACAAGTGGGGGAGATTAGAATATTCACTTGTGAGTTGTCCAACATCCTTTATACTGGAAAAAAAAGTCTAATTTATAAGTCTAATGGACTACTCCTCCTTCCACCAATTGGTTTTGAGATGGAACCTCACTTAGGCTTCATCTGAGCTCTCTCTGCTTAAGGTACGTTTCACGTGCCTGGGTTGTTTTTGTCTTTATTTACGCATAAATAGCGTTGCGTGTTGCGTAAGCTATTTGGGTATAATTTTTAGTATAGAAATATTACAAATATATTTGCATATAATAAACTGGATGGTTGATTACACAAATTATCATAGTATTTGAATGACTTCAAAAATAACATCTAAGGATTATTCTCACAAATGTTTAATGTACATATCATCATAATATAAATATTAATAATAAATCGAATTTACTAAAAAATAAAAACAAACGACGAAAATATAATGAGGTAAGACATAATATAATTTAAGTATATGTATTTTAATTATTATTATTTTTATTTAACTACAACTTAATTCTAACCATTTGATATGAGCTTTTTATCCTTTATTTAAATGTCAAATATCAAAAAATAAAATGATATAACAAAAATGGTTGCAATTGCTATCGCGCGTCAATGGTTGCACTATTCAACTCAGGACTTTGCATTTCTAAACTTTTAATTTGAAATTATTATCAAAATTTTTAGTTTTTAATTGTCATTTGTAAATATGACGCTGATCTCTAAAAAGGATTTTTTTAGCAAAAAAAAAATCAAAAGTTAAGTTGCAGACAAAAAAAATATAGGGAAAAGGGGGAGTGGAAACAAATGAAAAGCACGTATTTTATAAATATGTTTTCTGCACATTTTAATTGTAAAACGTATTCCGTGAATACGTTTTCCTTTGTAAAAAAAATGTGAAAAACGTATTTAGTGAATACGTTTTTTAGTTAAGTTATATAGAAAACGTATTTTGTAAATACGTGCTTTTTATGTTGGTCCACTGC